TCCCCCCACCTCCCACTCCTTTTACCCAAGTCTCTTCCCCCAGCTCTCCCCACTGCTGGGTGCTGCTCCCCCTTCAGGTCTCTTTGGAGGTCACCCCCTCAGAGACCTCCCTGACCACCCTGTCTAAACCAGGTGTTTTAGTTAGCTATTACCATAGAACAAATCACAAACTTGGCAGCTTTATGTATTTATTTATTTATTTATTTATTTATTTATTTATTTATTCTATCCTTACCCAAGGACATTTTTCCATTTATCTTTAGACAGATTGGGGGGGGGGGGGGAGATTGACTGGTTGCCTTCCATGTGACCCCGCCATGTGACCCCGACCAGGGCCTGGGACAAACCACAACCGAGGTACGTGCTGTTGGCTGGAATCAAACCCGGGTCTCAATGGTCCGTGGGCTGACGCTCTAACCACTGAACCAAACCGGCCAGGGCCAAACTTAGCAGCTTTAAACAAGGCACATTTATTATCATAGGTTCTGTCCATCAGGAGCCCAGGCTTAGTAGGGTCCTCTGCTCAGAGTCTTGAAAGTCTGGGGTTGCATTCTCCAGTCCTCAACTGAGGCTCAGAGACCTCCTGCAAACTCACTGGTCCTGGCAGCATTCAGCTCCTTGCTATTGAAGGTCCAAGGTCCCAGCTTTCTTGCTGGCTGTCAGCAGGGTGCCATTCTCAGCTCCCGGACGCTACGCCCTGTTCACTGTCATGTGGCCCCATCTGCAACAAAGCAGTGTGCTTCTTCAAGGCCAAAGTCAGTGCTGGATAAATGTTGTGAACTGACTGATAAATGGATGACCAAGAGGCCATCGCCAAGAACATGTGTGCGGCCCAGCTGGTGTGGCTCAGTGGATTGAGTGCCGTCCCATGGACTGAGAGGTACTGGTTCGATTCTTGGTCAGGGCACATGCCTGGGTTGTGGGTTTGATCCCCATTGGGTGGCGTGCAGGAGGCAGCTGATGGATGTTTCTCACTTAGATCGATGTTTCTATCTCTCTAAAAAAAGCAATAAAAACGTGTTTATTTTATTTTATCCTATTTTTTCAAAGAACACGTGTGCCAGAGTGCAGGCTGTTCAAAATAGGCTCCTGGGCTGAGAATACCAGATCTGAGGTAGCCTTCTGCCCATCCCCTGCCCTCCTCCAACCCACCCTCCAGGTAAATTGCTCCCTCCTCCCTCCGTCTGTCTCAACACTCTCCTTCCAGCATGAGGGCTTTTGGGCCTCACACCACTTTCCACCAGGATAGAATTTCTATCTACCGGTTGGAACTCAGCAACCAGGGCTGCGGGGCCACATCTCCTCCATCTCCAGATATCCCCTCACCACACAAACATGGAACCAGGACATTGTCTTGTATCTCCTACTCCATCCTTCCATGACTCCCCTTGGCCCACAGGATCTGGCATAGGCCCCCCACAACCACATGCCATGTCTACAAACTACACCCCTCATAACCCCTCCAGCCCACCCCACCTGGCCAGCCCTACCCTCTCTCTGCCCCCTGACTGAACTGAACTAAGCTCACATGGGCCCCCACCTTTTACTGGCTGCTGCTATTCGCTGGGTGCGGTTCCCATGCAGCCCTGTGCAAACCTCCTGGAATCTGAATGGTAACGACGGGGTTGGAACCTGAGACCCTAATGCCTCAGCAGGAAGCTGTTTTCTTCCAGTGTAGCTCAGCAGCCAAGTGCTGTGCGGCAGGCCCACTTTGGGGCACTTTATACAACGCACAGTTCATTGCTGGTGAAACAAAGCTGGGAGCCCAGAGAAGAGGTGTTCCTGATGACCCTGGCACCCTGAGCTACCTGGGTGCAAGGGAGGAGGGAAGCCTCATTCCCAGCCCAGGCCCACCTTGGGTCACTGTGGGGACCCAGGAGTGGGCAGCCTCTTTAGAGTTCAGAGTATGACAGGGATTCAGAATGCTCACATTTTGTTCAAGGGGGCCAGGCCCTCTGGCTTTTGTCACCTGGGACCCTAGTACAGCTAGGCTCTCTCTGGGCCACTGCTGACCAGGAGTTACCCTAGGCAAACCCCCTCTCCAGCCCAGAAGAGCCACCACACACCCACAAGACCCCCAGCCTCATTTTAGTCCCCCAGAGTACAGTAACAGGATGGCTGGGAGCACATGGACTTCATCCACCTGGCATTTGCTAAGAGCACTGGGCCAGAGGTGGGCCAGAGGATACCGGACCTGTGGTCACCACCCCTGGGGAAGCCAACAGTGTCAGCACAGGACCAAGTAGGAGACTCTGGGGGAAGGAAGTAGGGAGGGAGAGAGAAAGGAGATGGAGGGAGGGAAGGAAGTAAAAAGGGAGGAAAGCAGTGAGTGAATGCAAGTAGCCTCTGCTGTCCAGCGTCCCTCGCCGTGCGACCTGGCCCAGAAGCCCTCCACACCCACCACTGCCGGATCCCAAAATGCCCACGGGCGGGCGGAGCGGGCTGACCTTGTAAAGAGCCCTCTCCCCACCCAGACCTGGGGTTTTGCTAACGAAGCTGGCCCACGGGGCTGAGACTGGGGCTAGGGAAGGGGCAGCCCCACGGGCTAGGGGTGGGCCCCAGACCCTGACAGCAACGTGGGGGGGGGGGGGGCTGGGGGTCCCGGGTGCCCCCCCCCGCCCCGCCCCGCCCGCTGGTAGCTATAGAACCCCACCCCACACCCCACCCCCGCCAACACCTGAGTTAGGGAGCATCCGCACTTCTCCTCCCGTCGGTCAGGCAGGTTTGGGGCCGTTTGTACCGGGTCAGTTCATTGGGTAGATTCGATGTACACCCCGCCCAGTGCCCCGAGCTGGCCAATTGCAAAAGGTTTCACAGGGTGCCGTATTCGGGGGATCGCCACCGTGCTGCGACGCTTGTGGGGATCCTTAGGCCTCGGTGGCCTTTGCCCCTTTACGCTGGGCCTTAGCCCTAAGGAAACCAATGTGACCCGTGCCCGGAGAGGTGCCCGCGGGGCATCCGGGGAGCCCTTGGAAATCTCGGTCTCCACCTTTCCCCGATGCTTGCCGGCGTGTCCTCGAGTGGACGCGCGCATCGCAAAGAGGAGTTTGTAGACGCTCCCTCACATCGGGGATGCGGCTCCTTTAAGGGCACAGGTGTCCAGAGCGCGGCCTGACTGGAAAGCCGCCCCCAGACCGGGCTCCCGGAGCGAGCTGGGGGCGCGGGCTCGCGGTAACGGGGCGCTGGCGGCGTGCTTCGGGTGGCGGCGAGGGCCACTCGGGTCGTGGGGCGGCGGCGAAGGCGCGCGGTACAGGCGCGCGGCGGACAGCCCGGGTAGGCCCCGCCCGCGCCCCGCCCGCACCGGGGTCCTCGGAGCTCTCGGGCTGCGCGCGGAGCGGGCTCGGGAGGGAAGTCCCGAGACAAAGGAAGCGCTGCGCCGCCTCCGTCGCCGCCGCTCCGTCCGCCTCGCCTGCCGGGCCGCGGCCACCCTAGGTGAGCGCAGGTCGGGGGCGTGCAGGGCGCGGCGGCAGGGCAGGAGTCGGGTCTCGGCGGCGCAGGGCCTCCGCCGCCGTCGGGCCGGGCTGGGTGGGCACTCTTCCACCCGCGACCCCCTGGGCCCCGACCCCCGCCCCCTGCGTGCCCCCAGACCTGACCCCGACCCCGCGCCCGGGAACCGTCTGTCTCGGAGCTGTTGGAGCCGCGGGCTGCGGCCAGTCCCCGCCGGCCCGGCCTCGGCGTCGTCCCGGCCTTGCACCTGGGGCTCTCGTCGCTTTCCCTTATGAAAGTGTTGGCGTCCCCTACGGCGTGGGCTCGCGGTGCGGCCGAGGAGCCAAGGCGGGATTGACAGGAGCTTTCCCTCCATCGAGGGACGTGCGTTTCCGGGGTCACGGGTCCGCACACAAACCTGTGGCGCTCTCCAGCCGGGCCGAGAGGCCCAGCAGAGAGTTGAAAGTCTTGGATTGCAAAATTACTGGCTTGATTTGGGGGGGGCGGGGGTTGATGTCTAAAATTCAAAACAAGTCTGAGTTTTCTGCGCCTCTAGAGAGCTCCGCTTGCCGTTGGTAGGACCCTGCACAACAGCGCTTCGCCAGAGGGAGAGTTTTCTTTTGTTTTTAAGATTGCTTTGTATCAGTTGAAGGGAGGTTGGTTAAAACCGATATTTTCGTGAGTAGGAGGAAAGGAAGGGAATAGGGATCACGGCCTGTAATCGTTCCTAAATCAGTTTTAATTGGTTTGGTTTGTATAATCTGAAAGCATGCTTAGTTCCTCGGCTTGCAAAGTTACTGTACTCTGTTTGCTTAGTTGGGTTTTTATTTCCTTTTAAATAATATAGCTGTAAATGTTCCTTGCTATTAAGGAATCGTGTTGCCTTTAGGTAGAGAACTTATCCAATAGACAAGGGAGATGGATGCTAGCTTATGCTGATTTGCTTGTGACTTGTTGGGTTGTTTAGGGGTGAATTGTGTGTACTGTTGTATCTTTGGTGAGTCTCCGGGTTTGGGACCTTGCTTCAGAAATAGCCTGGGGTCCTTGGAGGTTTGTCCAGAAAGAACCGGAAGTGCAGCATGGGCAGAGGGTGTCCAGAGGCAGGGTTCTTGCATCAGGCAAAGTGAATGCCTTCCCCCTTAGTGGGTTTACATTTGGATGGAAAAGTCCTGTCCAGGGCTTCTTATTCACTCAGTTTCATCCTGGGCAAACCTTTGGGGTCAAAATACCCTCACCCATTTTGCAGATGAGGAAGTTGAGGTTGAGGGAGATGAACAGCTTGCCACACTCAAAAGCCTGTAAGTAGCTCTGAAGTCTCGGCTTTCAACCAGCAAAACTGATCTGAGAAGGGTGTGTTCAAGGGCAGACCTTCCAAATAAGCCTGGAGAACCCAGCCTTTGTCTTACAGGCTGTCTCTAGTAGTTCATAGATACATCTTTGTATCTACAGCTTTGCTACTCTTTCAGTGCTTGTCTGTTGGGGAAGGCAAAGTCAGTTTTAAGTGGGATTCTGAATGAGCACTTCTCCTGTGTAATTAAAATGTAACAAATTGGCTGCTTTCTCCTGGACTCCAGAAGGCCACCAGGAGTGGAAGCACCATCTTGAAGACCAGGTGTCTGCCTGGGACAGTGCAGGTAAGCACCTGTAGCTCTTTTTCCTGATGGTGGAAAGGATCTTATTGGTGCTGGGTCTGGTCCATTGGCACCCAGGAGGAGGGGGCTGTAGGAGCTCCTGTGGGACCTCCCCTCATTAACCTTTCATACCTGGAACAACAGCTAAGCAGTAGGACAGGGCCTTTGTGGGCAGCTTTGTGCGGTCTTCAGGGCAGAAGAGGCAAGGTCCTGACATAGGGTCAGCAGGCAGGCAGGCTGCACTTGGGATCACCCTGCTGGCCTCTCCCCCAGCCCAGCCCCTCTGGAGCCCTCTGAGCATTGTGTGACCCTACCCAGTGTCCCTGGTTCCTGGGTGTCCAGAGCTGGCCTGGGCTTCAGAAACCTGTTTTGATGCCTTGCTAGGGACCTTATGCCTCACTTAAATAACCACTTACTACTGGTTAGCTTGTCTTTGGTCACTGAACTTCTGTGTTAGTTAATTCAGCAGAAGTGTCCTGCCAGCCTGTGCTGTCTGCTTTGCCATGGCCAGGGATGAGGGAACTGCCCTCTGGGTGCCCTGTTGGTTGGGGAAGCCAATGGTCAGGGGCAGTAGTTTGGAGGCTAACATGTGCTGTGCCCTCAAGCCTGGAGGTGGGGATGGGAAGGGCATTTCCACTGGGTTGGGGATAGCATTGGGTCGTGCCATTTAGAAGAACCAGTTGAAGTGAAGGATTTAGACTTAGAAATCGAGAACTGTCAGACGTCGGGGCTGCCACTCCAGCCTCCCGACCAGTCATCACTGTCATTGCCCACTTCTGAGAGAAGCTGGCTGGTATGCTCTTCTGCCCCACCCCCCTGCAGGCTCCTATGTCCCTCGTGCAAGCCCACCCTTTCCACTCTCCTCTGGCCCTCCAGGCTGTTTTCCTGATCTGTGCTGCCTGGAATAGTCTCCTGCCAGATTGCTGCAGGCTGTGCTCGGTGGTCACCTGGCCACTATTTAAAAGCAGGTGCCTCTCATCCCCATAGTCCAGCTTTCCATGTCCAGGCACCTAGCACTTCCTAGCACGGGACTTCTTCACCTGTGAGTGCTTTGGGGCAGCATCCTGGCAGGCTCTTTAAGAGCACCTCAGTGGTTTAGTCAAACCCTCCGGAGAAGAAATGGCCAGACCAGAGCTCTGGGATTGTGTGGTGCAGTGAGCAGTTCTACTGTTGTTAATCTGTTTTGGACTTGATCTTGAGGTCCAGTAAGGTTGAAAGGTGCATTCTGGGGTCAGAGTGCTAGAGCTAGGGACCACAGTCCAATGTGGTACATCTGTCACCTGTCGCCCTTGACTGGAGGGTTTTGATTTTTTACCCTCACTTTTCTAATGATGACACAAGCATATCTGTTTCTTGAAATCGTACCACATCCAGTTGGTCTGGCAATTTATAGTAACTCACCCAGTGTCCTGAGACCTGGGCTCCTAGGTGGCGTTGGAGGCAGCGGTGCTTTTCTGCAATGGTAGTTGCAGACCCTTTCTCCTCCTGTGCCTACTTCTTGGAAGAACAGTTGTCTAAGAGCTGCCCAAAACCCATAGCACTGGGACCCGCCCAGAGTTACTGACTCCACGGTGGCTTCCAGGGCTTGGGAATGTGCATTTGGTGTCTGCTATTGAACTGTTGGCCTGACTTAACACCTTTGCACAAACAGTGTGAGCCCGAAGGGACAGAGCAGGGCAGCCAGGTGGTGTGGATGTTAGGGTGAAGAGTGCGATTTGGATTGGTGGGGTGAGGAGGTTGAGGTAGTAGTAGTTACAGGGCTAAAGGGGGCTGCAGCAAGAGGGAAAATAGCCCTGCCACCCACCCACCAGAGTCAGAAGACCACGTGGGTTTGTGTTGAGGCTCTGGCTTCAATGGGCAGGTTACTCTCCATCTCCCTTCCTGTCTCCAGAACAGGCTCGTGTGGAGGCTGGGCTGGAAAGCATGGCTGCTGTCAAGTGTTGTCCTTGCTGGAAATGTGTTTTTCCATACAGGGTTAAGAACCCTGTTGGAGTTGGGGAGGGCACTCCACATTGTACTCAGGAACTTGAAATGCTGAACCTTTGGATATTTGTCCCCTGGCTTCAGTATAAACGTGAAGACTTGGGGAAGCTGCCGATCATCATTTGTCTTGTTTTAAAGCCTTGTTTGTGATAAATACGTGTACTTAATTCAGGGTATCTTCAGTATTTCCATGGATTTTGAAGACTGATAAGCATATTTAGGTTCAAGTTCTCCAGCAGGTTTTGTGACCATGTCATCTCTGCATCTGCCTTCTCATGGGAAGCTGAAGGTGGGCTTACAATTCAATGCCCTGCGGTCTGTTCTGGTGTGTCAGGCACCTTCTAGAGATGCTGCTTTATCTGAGGGCTTCAGGTGCTAGTTTGAACAGATAGCAGGGGTGGGGAACCTTTTTTCTGCTAAGCGTCATTTGGACATTTATAACATCATTCATGGGCCATACAGAATTATCAGCCTAAAAGTTAGCCTGCCATATTTGGTCAGGCTAATTTGGTGGTGCGTGTGATAGTTGGCATTGATTTCATAAGGCCTGTGGGCCAGACGTTCCCCACCCATGAAAGGCGCTAAGCCTTGAGGGTCTGTGGTCCAGGCCTGCTGAGGTCTTCCCGCTCTTGCCTGATGCTCCCGAGTTGTTCTTGGGCTCTGCTAGCCTGTTTCTCTTTTGTTGACTTTCCCAAAGTAAATGGGAGACAGGCCCTGATCCATTAGTTGTTTGTGAAGTGCCAGGGTGGGGCTATAAGATGAAAAAGTGGAAGGGGTAGAGGAAGGAGCCCAGAACTCTGGTGACATGTGGGTCTGTTGGATGCTAGGTCCAGGTAAGCTGTCTCTGGGCTTGTCCACAATGCAGCTGAGCTGCCATCCACCCTGGCCTTCAAGAATAAGGGTCATCCTGGCTAGACCTGAATCTGAATTCCGAGCCCTGGTTCCAAGCTGGGGGCCTCACATTGCCCCACATCCCTGCACCTGCAGAGGGAAGTGATTCATCCCTGCCCTTCTCAGCTCTCAGGCTAGCGCTCTGGGTATCCCCACCTGGTCCTGTCTTTCCTGTGTAGTTCGATGGTAGAACTGGATCCCTGTGACTGATGTGGGGGGTGCAGGGGTTGCCAGATGTCTGCTGGGTGTGCACAGCATCCCTCCCTGCGCAGCACCTGGTACTGCTATGACCCAGGCCTGGCTTCACCTCTCTGAGCCCCTGTGTCACCATGAAATGGAGGCTGAGGGAGTGTGCTGTTGAGCCTAGGCAACTGGCTGGGGTCACCCATGAGGGCCTGATGCCAGTCCAAACTCTGGCTAGGGCAGCTTTCTAAGAGCAAGAATGGTCGCTGCGGGCCACGTGAGAGCCTTCACTTACCCACTTCTTGGAAACCAGTGTGCTTACTGGGCAGGTGTGAGAGGGAACAGGCGGAAGGAACCGGGTTTTCCTCCTGATTGCATCTCTGCTGTCTCTTTCAGGACTTTGAATATGTCGGGGATCGCCCTCAGCAGACTTGCCCAGGAGAGGAAAGCTTGGAGAAAAGACCACCCATTTGTAAGGAAAGCTTTATTTCTTCATGTAGCACAGTGGATCATCTCCCCCTGATGACACCGCCCAGTCCCTACAGATGAGGCCCAATTGTGAGCCCTGCGCTGCCGGGCCGGGGGTGGAACAGGGTTCCTGTGAGCGGCTAACACCGGCTGCCACAGCACTTACGTGCTTGTGTGTGGTTTTCTCTCAGGGTTTTGTGGCTGTCCCAACAAAAAACCCCGACGGCACGATGAACCTCATGAACTGGGAGTGCGCCATTCCAGGGAAGAAAGGGGTAAGAAGCGCCCATGTTTGTGTGGGGCGGACTGTTGGAAACGCTTCGACCCTTCAGAAGGACTTGGGTTCAAGTGTGCATAACGTGTGACGATCACACAGGCCCAGGGGACATGAAATGGTGGGGCGGGGTTAGGGTGACATGTGACACCACCCCACCCAGAGTAGTTTTAATTCTGAAAGAAGGAGCTGAGCTGTGGCAGGGGTAGTGGTTCCAGTCCCTGTTGCATCTTGGGGAGCAAAAGGAGTCTTGGAGACAGAATGGAGAAGGGTTCGGAGGTGCCATAAGAGCCTTCGGGTTTGTCCTTCTGGATGTGCTGAGGCTAGAGCAGCCCAGACACAGCAGTGCTCCTCCTGGGTTGGTTGCAAATCCCTGGTGCGGGGGGCAGGCATTGTCCACCTGTAATGGCTGCGGGGGGCCCCATGTGTCCTTCACACAGCCAACAGTCCTCCCAAGGTGGTGCCTCCTGGGCTCCCCTGAGTGTGCCTGGGCCCGTTAGAACCAGTGCGCTTGAGGCATTAGAGTGAGGGTGTCCAGCAACCCCGCGTACTGGACTCCAAGGAAGGAGGAGACCCCTGAGGTGTTTGGGATGTGCTGAGGCCTCATCACCTCCACTTCCTCCCACCATGGTCTTTCATGAGAATCTGCTGTGCTCAGCCTCGGTGCTTCCTGACAAGTCTTTGCCTGCACTGAGCTGGCAGGATTAGGACTTTGTCCACAAGAACGTGGTCTGAGTTTGCTTCAACTGAGCCTCTGTTGAAGGCCCAGCATGTACCCCAGCCTCCACTGAGCCTATACATGGCCCCTCAAATTAGGGTGAAGCTGGTGGGCTGTAGCCATCTCCCTCCCAATTGGGAAGGACTGTTGGACAGGAGTGAGGAGGCTGCCCAAGGACAGGAAGCACCTGAAGGAAGGGGTCAGCACTTGAGCTCACTTAAATCATCACCACAGCTGCTCAGGTGCAGACCCTAATCCCCAACCCAGGGTTGGAGGGGACTGCCGCCATGGGCCTCCTATCTGTTCAACTCCAGGGAAGACTCTTTCCCACGGGTCCTCTGGGCTCATGGATGTCCCACTAGTCTTGTGGGGACACTTGGGGCTGTGTAGCAGTAGCATACCCCTCCTCCTCCTGGGCCCTTGCAGCAACAGGAGGCACTCACCTAATCACAGCTTCATTTCCCAACAGACCCCTTGGGAAGGAGGCTTGTTTAAACTACGGATGCTCTTCAAAGATGACTATCCATCATCACCTCCGAAATGTAAGTACAACAGAGTTCTCAAAAGCTGGCTTTGACCGCACTCTGGCAAAGATCTGAGTCATCTCCGGGGTGTTGTTATTTCATACTCTGCTTCCCAAGCGATGGCCCGGCATTCTGTTCCCTGTGGCTGTGTCACACTGATCCCTATGGTTGTCTGTGGATCAGAGTGTTTCTAGCCCCAGGGTGGGAGATGCACCTAACAGACCAAGCCTCGGGTCTCAACTCGACAACTGGGAAGCTCCCAGGCCCTAGAGAGAATGTTCCTGAGATCCATGTGAGGCCCCCGAACCCTTAGTGCTGTCAGGAATGAAGCCACCACCATTCAAAACCTTACTTCTCAGGATTTTGTTTGCTGTGACTGCATCTGCAGCCTGGATGGATGGATAGCACAATTAAGCCTCCAGAGAAGGCAGCAGGAAGGAAGGGCCAAGGCCGTGCTTAAAACTGCTGCAGCTAGACCCCCATGATGCAGTTTAACAAAACTTAGGACAGAATCTCTCCCCCTTGGCAGCTGCAAATGAACAAATGCTGCCCATGGCTGGTTAATTGAATGAGTTGACATGCACCCCAGTGTGTCAGAAAGTGCCTGACACATGGGAAGGCAAGACGGCATGTAACTTAGCACTTGTGGTTGGTGATTTAGAGATAGAAGTATGTTTTTCATTAAAATAACATCTAGCTGAAGACTTGTTTAAATTACCAATTCATAGAATAACTATTGGGATAGAGACGTTTCATTTGGGGTAGTTCTTTGCTGTTTGAGTTTTTTGTGTGCCATGTGTAGGTATGACTTTAAGAAGTGAGATAAGGCCCAGGCCGGTTTGGCTCAGTTAGAACGTCGGCCTATAGACCAGAGAGTCCCAGACTCAGTTCCCGCTAAGGGCATGTACCTCAGTTGCAGTTTGTCCCCGGCCCTGGTTGGGGTTGTGTGGGTGGCAACCACTCGATGTGTCTCTCTCACATCGATGTTTTTCTCTCTTCCTCCCTCTCTCCCTCTCTTTCCCTCCTGCTCTATTTGAAGATGGGTGCAAAAATGTCCTCGAGTGAGGTTTAAAAAAAAAAAGGAAATGAGATAAGCCCTGACCAGTTTGGCTCAACAGTTAGAGCCTTGGCCCAAGGACCGAAGGGTCTCAGGTTATATTCCCTACCTGGGTTGCATGTTCAATCCTTGGCCCCAGTCGGGTCATGCAGGAGGCAGGCAATGGATGTTTCTTTCTCCTCTTCCCCTCCCCCGTCCCACTCTATTTTAAAATCAATGGAAAATATCCTTGGGTGAGGATTAACCATACAAAAGAAGAAGAAATGAGATCAATTGTAGCTGCTTTCATCACGTCTGTAACATTGTATTGGAATTCCAAGCAAATGCAGCAAGGTAGGAAAAAGAAATCCCAGCAGAAAAATGGGAAAGGAAGACTTAGGCCATAGACCATCTTTCTCTAAGCCTGTTTTTAAGATTACTAAATAAAAGGTTACATAGAAAAACCCTTTTTGCCCTGGCCAGTTTGGCTCAGCGGTTGAGCATCAGCCTGCGGACCAGAGAGTCCCGGGTTCAGTTCCCACTAGGGGCATGTACCACCAAAAAAAAAAGAGAAAAGAAAAACCCTTTCTCAGCCCTGGCCAGTTTTGCTCAGTGGTTAGAGCATTAGCCTGTGGACCAGAGAGTCCTGGGTTCAGTTCCCGCTAAGGGCACATACCCTGGTTGCAGTTTGTCCCCGGCCCCGGTTGGGGTTGTATGGGTGGCAGCCACTTGATGTGTGTGTCTCTCTCTCTCTTTTCCTCTCTCCCCCTCCCCACTGTATCTGAAGATAAATGCAAAAATGTCCTCGGGTGAGGATAAAATAAAATAACCCTTTTTCCTACAATTGCAACAAATGAAAGTTTTGAAACTATACTCTATATACTAGCATCATGTACCTTGGAATAAATCCAACAAAAGACATTTAAGACCTCTGTACCGAAAACTAAAGGTTTCTGAGAGAATGAAGAACGGCGTAAATAACTGGCAAGATGGGCTGTGTTTCTGGACTGGAAGAAACACTATTACAAAGGTGTCAGTTCTCTCCAAGCTGATCTACAAATTCAGTGTAATCCCAATCAGAATCCAAGCAGATTTTTGTGGAAATTGTCATACCAGTGCTGAGAATGGCCATGGCCCTCAGGGTTCTAGGAGGGGAGGATGGGAGGCTTGGGTTGGGGCTCCTTGGGTAAAAAGTACCCAGACCCATTAGCAGGATGGGCAAGACATGAATCAAATTGATACCTGCTATAGAAACATACTAGATGAAACGCAGAGCAGAGTCCAGAAAAGTGCAGGTGTGCAGTGGCATGGTTTATGAGAGGTGACGCTGCAATGCATGGGGAGAGGATGACTGATGCATGGACTGGGACAACCTGTCCCAGTGGGAAACTAGAGAACTCAGTGTTCCCCCATAGATCAAAGCCGCATGGATTGTGATGCCCAGTGGGAACGTGGGTGGGACAGTACAGCTCTCAGAGGAAGACAAGGAATGTCCCCATGACTTGGTTAGGCAAAGCTTTCTTAACCAGGGAAGCATGAAAAGTGATTTCCCCCAGAGGGGAAAATGATCAATTGGACTAACTGAAATTAAGATCATCTCTTCAAAAGACACCACTGAGCCTGGCCAGTTTGCTTAGCGGTTAGAGCATCGGCCTGCAGTTCAGAGAGAACTGGGTTCGGTTCCCGCTAAGGGCACGTGCCTCTGTTGCAGTTTGTCCCCGGCCCTGGTTGGTCATATGCGGATGGCAGCCGCTCGATGTGTCCCTTTCATATCGATGTTTCTCTCTCCCTCTCTCTCCCTCCCACTCTACCTAACAAAAAAATGGAAGAATGTCCTCGGGTGAGGATTAAAAATAAAAATAAAGACACCACTGAGCGTGGCCAGTCTGGATCAGTGGTTAGAGTGTCATCCCACAGGCCAAAGAGTTGTGGGTTCAATTCTGGTCAAGGGCACGTACCTTGTGGTTCGGTCCCCAGCCCTGGTTGGGGTCGTGCAGGAGGCAGCCAGTTGATGTGTCTATCTCACATCGATGGCCCACACACACACCCCCATCTGAAGACAAAAGGAAAAAATGTGCTCGGGTGAGGATTAAAAATAAATGAATAAACAAAAGACACCACTGAGAGTGAAGAGGAGAATATTATATCTATATATTGGTACTTATCCTGAATATATCAAGAGCATCTACAAATCAATAGGAAAAAGGCAAACAAGTACTTGGTGGAACAAGCCCCTTGCGAGAAGTTCTACTCCTGGCCAGTCAGCATTGAAAGAGATGCCTAACTTCTTTACTGGAAATTACAAGTTGAACCGCAGAGTGCAGGCAGGTGCCGGGGAAGGCTGCAGAGCAGCGGGGCTCTCAGATACGCGCTAGGGAAAGGGGATTTTGAACACTTCTTTTGGAAAGCTGTCTGCCATGTCTGTTGAAGTTAAACTTATCCCTACCCGAGGACCCAGCTGTTCCATTCAAGTAAATATTCAACAGAAAGTACATTCATGTGTTCACCAAAAGAGCATGTTTATGACAGCCCCGTCTGTAAGAGCCAAGAGCTGGAGAAAACCCAAGTGTCCGTTCACAATAAAATGGATAAATAAGTGCAGCAGCAAAAGTGAAGGATCTACAAATATACAGCATGAATTAATCTCCCAAACATGATGTTGAGTGGATGGAGCCAGACACAGAGGAGTTTATGCTGGAGTCCTTTTATCAAGGTCAACACTAGGCCACAGGGTGAATGGTGTGAGAAGTCAGGAGGCTGACTTCATGTGGAAGAAAGCCAGGCAGACAGGAAAGGGGCTGAAGGGCTAGGAGGGTGCTAGTATTAATCATTGGTACACTTTTCTAGCTAGGAAACAAGATTGATAAATCAGATTAAATTAAAATTAGGAACTCTGTTCACCAAATGTACAATTTAAAAAAAAAAAGGTGCCCTGCCAGTTTGCCTCAGTGGTTAGCACGTCAGCACTCAGACCAAAGGGTTGCAGGTTCAATGCCTGGTCAGGGTCATACAGGAGGCAGCCTGTCAATGTCTCTCTCTCCCCTTCTCTCCCTCCCTCCCACTCTATCTAAAAATCAATGGGAAAATATTCTTGGATAAGGATTAGCCCAAAAAAAGCACAAAGGCAAACTGAGAGTGGGAGAAGATATTTGCAAGACATGTAATTGACAAAAGGTTTGTGTCCAGAATATGTAAAGAGTTCCTCCAAGTCAATAAGAGACAACCCAGTAGAAAAATGTGCAAGGTATTTGAACAAGAACTTCTCCAAAGAAGTAGCTGGTTCATCCCAGTAAATGAAAGGTGCTCACCCTCAGTGATCATCAGGGAAATGCCGCTTAGAGCTATGAGGCAACCATGGTTCATTTAACAATGACTGAAGTCCTCAACTGACAACACCAGGTGTTTGCAAAACTGTGAAGCAGTGAGGTGTAAGTGGGTACAGCCACTTTGGAAACTGGCGGTATCTGTTCACGTTCAACACAGACACCCTGTGATCCAGCATTTCCACATGGAAATGCACACGTGTGCACCAGACCTCACATCCAGGAACGATCAGGGCTTTATTTGTGTTCACTCAAATGTGCACCTGCAGTGCAGTGGGCAAGTCACAGGGCAGCCAGTCTCCCAGTGGGTGCTGTGCAGCAACAGGAGTAACTGCCACTGCCGGTGAGGATACGTGACCCCTGGTGCAGAGCGGGGAGATCCTCGTGCGCTCTGCCCAGTTTAAGACATCCCGCTAGGGATTGCAGGTAGGCTGGTGGGCCGCTGGAGGGGGTGGTGTCTGAAGAGTTTTCTGGGAAGCTGTTGATAGTGGATGTATTTTTTGGTCAGGCTGTACTAGACTTGCTACACTTTTCTAGGTATAATTAATGTTTAAAAATAAAGAGAAAGGGAAAGAGTACCCAGAAAAAAAAGATAAGAAATATGCTAAAATGTCAGCTGTGGTTAATGATCCTTTGGTGGGGCTCATGGCAATTTTTTTCCTACTCTTTATATTTTCAAACTTTTTACCTTTTTTTTAAGAAAACCTTTTTTAAAAGAACGCACTTGGGGTCCTAAAAAAGCCTCTGTTTTTGAAGCAAAATGAGCTGCTTTGAACATGGCCACTTATTTGGAAGGACCGTGACTGCTTCCTTGGGACCCTCTTCACCTGCTGCAGCAGCCCCTTCCCACCTTCCCGGTCCAGACGGGCTGGGAGGCTGCCTGGGTTCCGCTCTGCCGGCCCACTGGGCTCTGCCTCTGAGTCCATCGGGGAGGCACGCTTGCCTCTCCCGCCTCTTCCCGCCTCCTCCCACCTCCTCCTGCCTCAGGCCAGTTTTGTTTTTATAAACAATTTTTTCAGAATTGAGAGAGCTTGCCAGTCCTGGAGTGTATTGCAATGTGAGCGCGATGCCTCGGTCAAGTTGTCCATGTGTGTTGATGGCGTGCGTGCCTGTGACCCACAGCCCCGTCTGCTGTGGTATCACAGTGCAGAGTAGAAGGGGATGTCATCAGGACAGGACATTGTTCTGTAGGACAACTGCCACCAAAACACATTTCCTTTCTTCCATGTGGTCCAGGCAAATTTGAACCACCATTATTTCACCCGAATGTGTACCCTTCAGGCACTGTGTGCCTGTCCATCCTCGAGGAAGACAAGGACTGGAGGCCAGCCATCACGATTAAGCAGGTATGCCTCATGAGGGCCTCGCCTCGACCTTCCTTCGGGACCAGAGTTTGCCTTTTGAACTGCTGACCTCCCACCTTGCTTTGTTTTTCTCTCACACAGATCTTGTTAGGAATACAAGAACTTCTAAATGAACCAAATATCCAAGATCCAGCTCAAGCAGAGGCCTACACAATTTACTGGTTAGTAGCAATCTGGCCCCGCTTTCCATGACCTCTCGTCAGCTTGCGCGGCCTTCCCTGGAAGTCTAGTCTGGGCTGCCTGTAGAAAGGGGAGCAGTAAGTGAGCTGTGGGTGGATGGGTAGTCCTGACCCGCCCAGCAGCCTGCGAGGGTGGCCTACACAAGCTCATGTGGCTGCTGGGGTCAGTGCTGCAAAGGGGGGCTGTGAGGTGGCCAGGGAGGCATCCAAGGATGAGCTGCATGTGTAAAGGGCCAGTGGTGGCAAGAATGGGTGATCAAGGCTGGTGTAGCCAGAGCGATGGTAGGAGTTGGCAGGAGGCAGAGTCAGATGATAGGGGCTCCTGATGACCACTTTGCCCCTGATGGGCTATGGCCAGGCAAACCCTGTGCCTCCAGGGGCCCAGTTCCGCTCAGAGGGAAGGGTGTGGACACTGGGGGAAGAAACCACAGACCTCCCATCTCTGCCCTCTTTGGCCCAGCTTGGGTATGGCAGCTCTGAGGGGCATGGTTCAGTAGGGGAGCGGTACTCCTGACTTGCTTGGTCACCTGGGTGCTGTGGGAGGAGGGCCTTATACAACTTTAGTGTAAGCAATGGAGCTAAACCTGGCATGTGGCTGGGTGGACAGTGGGGAAGACCCTGGCCTAGTTCCTAGCCAGCCTCCCAGGCTGGTGTGGGCAGGATGTTATGCCAGGTTGGCAGCTCTGACCCCTAATGCTCCACTTACCTATGTTCAGAAACCTGGGGCCTAAGGGCCTGACCCACAGGGAGACGCTGGGCCGTGGCTTGTTCCTTACAAGGGGGAGTTTCTGGAATTGCTACAAGTTGGAGGGTAGGCTGTTCTGAGCCGCCGGAGTGGCCTGAGTACATCTGAAGAGAAGTGCCAGCTTGCAAGAGATGCATTTCTCCCCCCGAAAATGGCTGGGGGTGCCCTCTGGTGGCTGAGAGTGACTAGGTGCTCCTGGGCAGCGACTGAGGTCCACTTCCTCCTAGCCCTTGGGCTGGGTGCCCCTGCTTCAGCCTTTAATCCTGCCTTTTTCATGAGGCGTCCAGCAGAGGAGTCACTGTGAGTGATTGCAGCGGAGCCTGCCTTGAATTTACTTGTGTCTCGTTGGCTGCTGTGCATCAGCAGCTCTGGGAGATGAGCCCTCAAATACCTCGACCATTGAGCAGGGTGCTGTGTAGTTTCACTGCAACATCTGCCTGCATCAGGGCCCCGTCAGCCTACGCCTCTTTGTAAGTAGGGCCACTTGGGTCCGTGCTGCCTGAGCTGAACCACTCGATAGACCACATGGCCCACAAAGCCAAGATGTCTTCTTGCTGTCCGCGAGGGCACTTGCCAGTCCTGGAGTGTGTTGCGGTGTGGGTGTGGTGCCTTGAGCGAGTTGTCCATGTATCTCGATGGCGTGCCTGCGGCCCGCAGCCCTGTCTGCTGTGACCCTCGCTGTTTAGTTGCAGTATTGCGGTGTTCGTGGCAGGGGTTCAGAGAGTCACTGCTGTATGCCAGTGGGTGCTCCTGGTTGTGTGCTCCCCACCTGTAGGACTGGAGCATCTTCCATGTACCCTGGGCTCCTTATGTGCTAAATGGCGTCATACAATACTTCACAGGAATGAGACATTATTTTTCCTGTAAGCATCCATTCTAACAGCACCTTTTGTGAAACATGCTTGATCTGTTTTTTCAGATCTCTTGGTTCATGTTTTTGGAAGGTCATGGGGCGTGTCCTACACTGGCAGGTGCCCCATTGCTCTAGGGCAGACACCCTGTGCCCGGCCTCGCTTGGTAGATGGCTGGGCTGGGCTGCCTCTGCTATTGCTTTCAGCTCCTGGGGCCCTCCTAGCTTGCTGCCTCCCGCTGGGGGTCTGGGCCCTTGGCCAGGTGGGAGCCCAGGAGCGCAGACTGCCCGCAGCGTGGCCTGGCGGTGGAAGCTTGTACTCTGCTCTTCACTCTTGGCTCTTGGCCAGGCATGGTGCTGACACTGGCCTCCTGGGACTGGTGTGCGCCTGGGCACCGTGCCAGCTTAGGGCAGGTTCAAGGCAAGTTTCCGACTCTCCTGGTGCTGGCATTGCATCCTTTCCCCAGAGAGGCTAGAGAGAGGAGGGCTTGGGGCACCAGGGCCTGTTGTCTGCACTGGGCAGCGGTGAGGGAAATTCTTTTGGTGGCCCCTCTGTACCTCGAACCTGGGCCTGCTCGTGGGCTGGGACCAGTGCTCTGAAAGGCCACACTTGTTGAGAGCATAGCTTGGAAGGAACCCTGGCTTTCTTATGAAGGTATGAGTACCCCGAGTGCATTCACTGCACCTGAGCTCCGAGGAGGCTTCCTCACCAGCTCCTGAGGTATTTGATGAGACTTCTGACTTAGTGTGTCAAGGAGCACTGTTCGTAAACATCATCATGTACTCACAGGCGTCGGGGTCACATTGATCCCCTGGTAGCAGCTGGTCTCTGATGGCGCGTTTGCAGCCCACCCTGGCCTAGGGCCGTGCCCGCCAGCCCCCTTTTCCTTGGCAGCACATCTCACACTGGAGTCCCAGCTGAGGTCCTCCCCCAACCACCAGGAAGCTGCTTCCTACCTCTGCACCTTCACACGCAAGACTTAAAGAGTCCCGTGGGAAGACTCACCATATGTCTGGGGTTTTTGTTGTTGTTGCTGTTTTTGTTTTTTTGATAGAATGGAAGGGACGAGGAGAGAGAGAGAGAGAGAGAGAGGGAGGGAGGGAGAAACATTGATGTGAGAGAGACACATTGATTGGTTGTCATCCATACGAGCCCAGCTGGGGCCGGGGATCAAACCTGCAACCCTTCATTCTGAGGGCTGACACTCACCGCTGAGCCAAACTGGCCGGGCTGTGTGTCTGTTTTTGAAGGCTGGATGTGCAATCCACATTTTCTCTCCAAAGTGACTAATGTTGTTTCAAACAGGAGAGAGAGAAAACTGCTGGTCACTGGTTAGATTGTGAACTTCTGGCCCAAGCTATTCTAACGTGTCTCTCTCTTGACCTCCTCAGCCAAAACAGAGTGGAATATGAGAAAAGGGTTCGAGCACAAGCCAAGAAGTTTGCACCCTCATAAGCAGCGACCTGCGGCAACATCAAAAGGAAGGGATTGGTTTGGCAAGAACTTGTTTACAACATTTGCAGATCTAGCATCGCTCGATACAATTACTAGTCACCTAGGGGAGGTGGGCGGGCGCCATTTTCCATTTCCGCCACTGGTACACAGTTCTCCACTTGCTGAATTGCCCAGTTTTTCATACAGGGTCTCTTCCTTCAGTCTTTTGTATTTTTGATTGTTATGTAAAACTTGCTTTTATTTTAATATTGATGTCAGTATTTCAACTGCTGTAAAATCATAAACTTTTATACTTCTACGAGTCCCTGAGGAGCTAGTTCCCTTTGCTCGCGGGTGCAGGCTGCTTCCCACTGTCAGAGCTATGCGTAGCCTCAGCTGGCTGTACAAAAAGCAATCAGCCTGTCCCCTGCCCTGCGCCTCTGTCCTCTGCAGAACCCGGGTTGTGTTGCTATGAGCCTCAGATCCAAAGTCAGCCAGCCTCTTGTTTCCGCATCACTTCCTTTGTGTTTATATGGCGTTTTGTCTGTGTTGCTGTTTAGAGTAAATAAACTGTTTATATAAAGGTTTTTGTTGCATTATCGTCATTAAAAGTGTGAGGAGGCAGCCCCAGGGTGTGTCTCCCCACCCCCTTCCACAGCTGCAGGCCCCACAGAGCACCGTCCTCGGCCCCAGCACGTCTCGTTGCCCAACTGGGTCCTACGTGCAGTTGTCCTGGTCCTTTGTGAAGTAGTGCTGTGTACAGAGATGGTGTGTGTCCAGGGTTTCTGTCCCCCTGCCTGGTTCTTCAGGCTGTAGAGCACTAGAGTTCAGATCTGGTCAAGTTGGAACTGCTGTCAAGACCCTTCTAAAGTGTGTGCTGCCGGCGCATCAGGAGGAGGGAATGCCTGGACCCAGGCCGGGTGCTGAGCCAGGGCACGGAGCTCCTCACATCTGGCACCGCCCTTGGGCTTCTGCATGTAGCATCCTGGCCCTCCCACGCTCACCGCGTCAGCCCCCACCCCTGGGTACAGGCAGTCTCGGGCACGGGGACACCCCTAGAGAGCAGTCCGCGGGCCACTGTCGCATGTACTCTGTCTCCTGAAGTATTCTGAACCTGGTTGCGCAAGGAGGCCGCTCTCAGAAGGAACCCTGGAACCTGAGCCCGCAGCAGGGCACAGGAGCTGGCTGCCCGTTCTGTCGGAGCAGTCCTGGGTCCCGGCTCAGCGGGGAGGTGTAGATGGAGACAGGACGTGACGGAAGGGGACCTGGCCTCTGGGTCCCAGTGAACACAGCTGACCACCCTGAGGTCTCTTGTCAGAACCAGCTTGCCTGTGGCTCTGGCATGCAGACCGAGGTGGGTGTGGTCCCCAAATGGTGAGGAGCACAAGGAGGGCTGGTCATCTGGGCCCTGGCCTGGAAGAGGTACCTCTGTTTACCCCAGAAATGTGGCCCCTCCTCTGACAGCATGGCCCGAGGGCCCAGTGCCTTGTTCACCTGCTTAGCTGGACGTCTGTTGGGTTGCTGAGCTCTGAGCTCTCAGTTTGATGTTCATGATTCTTTCTCATGCAGAGGGCCTTACTCGGGGGGTTCAGTGGGTCGTGTGTGTATAGCCCCTCCCAGAATGTCTTATTTTGTAATGACTGAACTACACTTAGTAATAGTTACACATGTATATGGTTAATATATATGGAAATGCAATATATTTTCTAGTTAAAGCATTCTAAAGTAATCGATGTTTCTAGCACATTGTCGTGACTTTGGCTAATGAAATGTCCTTTTGTGCCACAGTTCTTGGCTTAACAAAGATGTGAATCTTGTAACAGGAGAACTATGAAATGTGATCATTCTGTTTCTACTGTAAGGGAAGAGAGTGTGTTCCCAGCATGAGGCGCCTAATTAGTGAGGAATTGTGGGCAATAGATTAACCACTGTATCTAAGAATCCTCTAATTAAAACATTTCCACAAACTGCTGCCTGCAGGGTGTGTCCTTTTCCTGCCCCCCTCCCGCACAGGCACCCCCTGCTCGCTGTCGCTGTGCCCAGGGAGTTCAGGCCTCCTTTCCACAGCCTCCAGTGGCCCGGGGGTGGGGGTGATGTCCCCTGGAACCGCATTCAGATCCCCCTTCTGTGTCCTCTAAGACCTGGCATGGGCAGGCAGGGCTGGCACACATCCTGTGCTGGCCACTGGCCTTACCCTACATCTTCCAGCCCTGCTGGGGCCTGAGGTTGTTCTCATCACCTAGCAGGGTCTTCTCAGGGAGCAGGACGCCATCCTCACAGCCAGGGTGCACACAGGCGCTCAGTTCAGAGCCTGATGGGGGCTTGGCGTGGCTATTACATGGGTACAGAGCAAGGAGCCTGACCACAGTCGGGTGGGATAGCTAGCCCTCAGCCTCCCGTCTCCCCAGGAGTGGGTGCTCAGGGGCCCAAGTCATCTCCTGGCCAGGCTGTGGATCTTGCCCTCCCTGGACCGTCCTAGCTGGGCCAGTGCCGTGTCCTCACACCTGTCTGCTCGCACAGGCCACCTCGCTCCCTGACGTGCCGGCCAAGGCTTCTCACATCAGGTTCTGCCATGAGCAGCCTCCAGTTTGAGGTTAGGATGACAAGTTGGCAGGGTGGAGGCCCAGCATTGACCTGGGCTGGCTTGAACAGGTCTGAGTCAGCTTCAGCTGGGAGGCCTGCAGAGCGCCTGTGCAGTACATGCCCCGGCCAGCCCACCGCTGAGTGGGGGTGTCCTGCCAGGGCCCAGGAGTCTCAGAGCCTTCCAGATGCGGTGACCCCATCTGCAGGGTCTGTGGGCCCCATGGGGATGGAGCACCAGGGTCCCATCTACTCTACTGCCCCCAGGCCCCACAACTGGCTTCAGCAGTTTGGCCCAAAGACTCCAGCATTAGGAGGCCGTTTTCCCTGAGCTCCTAGAAGAAAGTAACGAGGAAGCAGCAAAGTCCCAGAGCACAGGCCTGGGTTCTCCCTCTTGGGCTCTGCCCTCCCAGGTGCCCACCACCCCTTCCTCCAGGATGCCCTCCTAACGAGGGGTCAGCTGAGTGCTCGTGCTGCCCCTTCCATGCCTCCAAGAAGAAAGGAATCGGGCTGCCAGAGCCAGGGACGGGGCATCTCAGCCCTCGACTGCAGAGAACGATGCCGGTTCTGTGGAGGAGCCGTCCGCCTGCAGCTGATACTGCCCTGGCCCCACAGTGGTGAGTGGGGGGCGCTCTCGCCGCAGGCGGCCTTGACACACCTGCCTCTGGGCCAGAAGCTGACGGAGGCCAGTGGACAGAATGGATGGCGATCTGCTTCCATGTCCCTGGCCTGGCACGGACTCCGTATGTGCAAGTACTGGCAACAGGACCCCCCGAGCTGGTGACTGCACCCCAGGAAACAGCATCTCAGGCCAAGGGCCATCTGGGCCACAACCCCCCCACCTCGAGCCACCAATGCTGGCAGAACTACCCAGCGTGGCGCAGCACAGACAGTGGGACAGATTCCTGCAGTCCTCAGGGTCATACAGCCCGGGCAGGCAGGAACCCTTGCCCAAGTCCCATGGCCCACCCCCTTTTCCTGCCTCTGTCCTGGACAGGTGGTGGGGTTCAGAGGGTGGTGGGAAGAGCCTGACCGCTAGAAAGCTAGGCCTGCAATTCCAAGGGCTGCCACCAGAGGGTGTGATCTCTACATTATTAAAACCTGGCCGGTGTGGCTCACTGGTTACAGTGTTCGCCTGCGCACGGAAGCGTCGTGAGTTCAATTCCCACTCAAGGGCACATACCTGAGTTGCAGGTTCGATTCCCAGTCCTGGTTGAGGTGCGTGTAGGAGGCAACCAATCAATGTGTGTCTCTCACATCAACCTCTCTTCCTCTGTTCCACAATCTCTAAAAATCAATGGAAAAAAATATCCTCAGGTGAGGATTAACAAACAAACAAAAAAAGGTTGTAGAAGAAAAAAAATATCCGGCCAGTGTGGCTCAGTGGATTGAGAGTCCTCCCCGACAGGGCACTTGCCTGGGTTGCAGGCTCGACCCCCAGTGGGGAGCACGCAGGAGGCAGCTGATTGACGTATCTCTCTCACATCGATGTTTCTCTCTCTCCCTTCCTCTCTAAAAAATCGATTTAAAATATTTTTTAAAAGAACCTGCAGTGGCGGAGTGGACTCACTGAGGTGTTTTCATCTCCTGTGCCATTCTTCCCCTGCTCAGCCTTCAGAGTGCTTATCCAGAGCCTGGTGTTTTTCTCCTGGTCCTAAGGAGGAAAAGCCACACCACCCCGCCCCCACACCTGCCAGGCCCTTTTCTTTTAGAAGCCCAGAGAGTGTGAACTCCACCGTCCCACCAGCTCCACAGAGCCCTGACCTCCTCTGGGCAGAATGTCTTGTGCCCTAACGCCTGCTGTGACATATGCTTGCCCACACACTTCCCCTCACCACCTCCAAATCGGCAATTGGCTCTGCTGCTCAGGACCGCTGTCTGGGGTCTGAGGCAGAGGGGCCAGGGTGACACTGCAGAGCAGGGTCTGGGACACAGGCAGGAGTGGAGTGGTTTCCTCCCTTCTCACTCCTGGCTGTGGGATCAACAGATCAGCTTCCATCCCCAACTTTCCGAGGTGGAAACATTCCCCTCCCCAGGTCTCTGGAGGTAGTTCTGCAGTCCCCATCCCTGTAGACGGGAGGAGCGCTCGGTGGCGGACACCAACCAGCACGTACACTGCTGAGATCACCCGCAGAGGTTTCCCAGCCACCCCCAGGATGGGCACTGCTGTTTTACAAACCGGGAATACTGAAGCCCAAGACATCAGAGGGGAGCCATGAGGAAGGGATCTGGGGCAGAGGGGCCAGGGTGACATTGACTCAGGTGGGCCTGACTCCAGTCACAGAACCGGTCATGAAAATGAAGGGATCAGGCACCAATGGGACCATGGCTCCAGCCCCTGGAAGTGTGTGTGAAGGGAAGTCCCGGGGATCATCTTTTCCAGGGAAAGTCTCAGGGCTGGGCTTGGGACTCAGCCTGTTGCTGTGTGGCCCTAGATAAGCCCTTCCCCCTCTCTGAGCCTCACTTTGCCTATCTAAAGAGAAGGGTGAAGTCTCCAGGGGCCTCCTGCCAAAAGGCTAGTTAATTAGTTTCTGGGCTGGTGCCTCTGATGCCACTGGCCCCATCCCTGGCTCCGCCAGGATATGGGTGGATGCAGCAAGCAGGGGCCACCTCCCCTAGCAGCAGCCCCTCCTAACTTCCTGTTTACAGCAGCTGCACAGTCCTTCCTCCCAAGCCTTTGTGATCACCATGGCAACCAGACTGGTGATTGTTCCAACAGGTTGGCAGAACCTGACCCAAAACTGCAAGAGTGGGGGCACCAGCTCCAAGATCCTGGCTCAGGACCTGCCAGTCCCCCAAGAAAGGACAAACTGCCCCCATCCTGATTGCCATCCCCTTCGGAAGGAAACCAAGTGCAGCTGGTGGCATGGGGTCCAGGCCCCCTCCCCTGCTTCCATGACTCATCTCTGTCCCAAGCAGTTGCGTATCCTGAACAGCTTCTGCCCTCATTTGCCTGGCTGTGCTGGGCCAGGTAGGAAATAGGGCCAAGGGAGCAGAGCTTCTAGGAAAACCTAACTTGCAGTGCTGTCCCCCAACCCTGCAACCCTGCAGTGCAATCTCTAACCCCCTGCAGTGCTGCCTCACACACACTCACACACACACACACACACACACACACACACACACACGGTAGTTCTTTGTCTCATCCTGCAAGGACAGGGCATATGGCGGCACAGATGTGAGTCTGGATCTGAAAGCTGAGACAGGTGGTAGCCCCATCAGAGTGGTGTCCTCTCCATCCCCATGTAAGGGGGGAAGCACTCTAAGTGGGCAATTCACCAAAAGGCACAGTAGCTATGGCTGGTGCCTCCCTGCGTGGAGCTATATTCTAGAGCCCTGTTACTCCAGCCTTTGGCCCTCCCTGCCCCCTGCCCTTCCCAGAAAGAACCGTTCTTGCCTCTGGGCCTGACCTGTAGTGGATTCCAGGCTTGTCTTTCTGTCCTTTGGGGTGAAAACTCCAAATCTTGGTCTGATCTCCAAGGACAAGGTGCTCTGAGGGTCCAGCAGAATCGGCCAGACAGGGCTGGGGTCCAGGGATCCTGTGCACCTTGGGAACAGAACCTCTGCACCAGCCCATGTTCTCCAAGTTTGAGCCCAGGAGGCCCAGGCAGCACCTGGAGCTTTGTAGCAATGAAGATGGTCAGCCCCAACCCAGACTTTTGGAATCAGTAGGCTTGGGGTGGGCCAGCAATTTGTGTTAAGGTCTACAGGTGGCCACAGTCAAGTTTCAGAATGCTGCACGGATGTGGAGTGGGGAGGTCAGACAGCATCGAGAAAGTGGGCTGGGAAATATGCTGGTAGGGTCCAGCTCAGGCCCTGGGGTTCCATAGACTGTGTGACCAGGTTCATGGCCCACCGTGTGGTGTCTGGGGCCTCATCTGGACCATAGGGATGATCACCCCAAAAGGTAAGCAGGGTTGTCATGGGGCATCCTGAGTTGATGACTGCAGCACCTCTCCTCCCGGATGTGGCCTCTGCCCCATTAGGACCGAGGTGGTGAAGTCCCCAGCTCCAGGTTGACACAAGGGGTAGCGCTGGGCTGGGAGGATGACGCCGGAGGTGGCTGCATAGCCCTTCCCAAAAAAGTCCCTTGTTCGGTTTCTGCGACTCTGGATTCTCTGGGCCCCCGGGAGGGGGTCCTGACGCAGAGCCGATCCAGCTCCTGTGTTTGCATCCACCTGTGGATTGGTTCACTGACAGCTCTGAGCCCCGACCCCCGGGGAAGGGAGCCCCCTGGCCAGGCACTGGGGGCTCAAGGACCCTCGCCCGGCCCGGCTCACTGCTGGGGGCGCGCGGGGGTGGGCCCATAGGGGCGGGGCGAGCAGGCCAGGTCCCGCCCCTGCCCCCACCCCCCCCGCCGCAGCCGCGGTGGGTCAGC